AAATCGACCTGTATGTGTCGAAAATTGCCGACGGTGTTTCAAAAAAAAAAAACTTCAAAATCGACTTCGAAGCTCAAAAAAGACATCGATACTTACCTTAATGGCTTCTCTTTCCACATATACTACCATATTATTGTCTTATAACTCCATATTATAAGTTTTGTGAGGTTATGATTTTTTGAATTTGGAGATGTTTTGGAGGATTTAAGAAGATGAAAAAGATAGGGTTTAATTGGGTTGTCGCGGCAGTTACGGTGGCGTTCGGCGGCGTTCGACGGCGTTCGGCGGCGGCGGCGGCGGCGGCGGCGGCGGCGGTGAGGGTTGGAGAGGAGAAGAAATGGTGGAGGTTTTTTTTTTTACAACAAAGGGTTTTTTTCTTTTTTTTTTTATTTGGTTTTTGAATAGGTAATTTCTAAAAAAAATTGATATAATTGATATTTTGTATGAAAGGGTATTTTTGTACTTTTCTTTTTATTTTGGTATTAAAGTAAGAAAAAACTGATAAATATGTACTCAATTTTGGTTTTAAACTTGGTAGTATTCAAGTAAGCAAAAGTTGGGATTCAAAATAGTTGCCCCCATTACTTATTACACACAATTATCTGGATGATTTTAAATATATCCTATTGTTGTTTTTTAAACTAAAAGTTATAAAAATGATATAAGGGTTTTGGTGATAGCAGGATAGACATATTGAGCGCAGATGCAATTTGATGGCATCCATGAATTAGTTAGACACAATTATGAGAGCTTCAAAAGGAGTTCATTCAACTTGTGACAAATGGAAACTAAGAATCAGTAGCAACATATAATGACAACATTAAAATTCAAAGAAAAGATGATGTAAGTTGAAATCTCACCCCAAGGCGAATAGTTGGTGATGATGCGATTTGCGATAAAAATGGTCCAATACTTTGGGCCATCGGCACAAGGACAGGTGAAAACAAAGGAATAGCTAGGCTTGCTTCCTGAAAGTAAAATTAACAATAAGGTGTCATTTTGGACAAGTACTTTAAATTAAATTTGCATTATGTGAACAGTTGAAGACTAATACTCATGTAGTTTGCTTTATATGGCACGAACCCGACTTTTGAACTGGTTAAAATGAAGAACTTGTGATTTTAGAATTTTACAGCAATATAAATACTTGTTATCTAGTATATTTCTCAACCTTCAGAAATGAAAGATACGGACATCAATCATGCAGTACCTTGTTATTAAATGCCATTAATATATTTCCATTTCTTTGCACAGCATATCTCGAGCCTGGTAATTAGACAATAAGTTGTCAATTGATGTTAGTTTTGTACACAAATTTTGTGAGAAAAATATAATACAAATGATACATCAACCTATCAGAAGATGAACGACGGATCCCAGTGAATGACCAATGCCAAAAGTAGGAATGTCTTCAACCTGTGCAACAAAGCAGCTCAAGAATACATAAACCGTATACAGCTAATTCTACATGCTTTAAATGAAACTTACTGTTTCTTGGAGATACCTAAGACACCTCTCAAATTTAAACTGCACTTCATCTGCAATGAGGAAGTGATCAAAACCACTCGCATAAGGTGTGGCAATAACTAATATACCCCTGCGCCACAAAGTGCAGACCAAGCAAGTTACACACAGTATCAAATTAAAAACAATGGGACATAAAATAACTAGGTTACACCCGTAAATTTAATTATTTCAGAAAGGCATGTCGTGATAGTGTGATGGTGTTTGCACATGTAAGTGATGATTGGATTTAAGGTTCAAACTATTTTGTCAGTAAAACAGCTCACTTATCAGCAAGGCGTTCTAGGAATAATCGGTAAGTAAGCTGTGGGGCAGCCCCCACAAATATGCCACCAATAAAATGCACGATTGCTGTTGACTTGGAGTTTTTTGGCCTCAATACCCATGCTCCCTGTAAAATATGCATTTGTTAATCGAACAATTTATCCCTCAATGCAGAGCATATTTTTAGATGCCACTTACGCTTGAGAACTAACCCATATCTTTGACATTCAAAAACTGTACATAGTCAATTTCTTTCTTCAATGAGGCCTTAAAAGTAAAGACCATATATTGCACTGCCTTTCCAGTATTAAAAAATACATGCACCAAGAGTAAACTAATGACTTCAAATACTTTGGAGGAGTAAATTAAATAAAACGAGAAAACATGAAGCATACACAACAAACTGAAAAAAAACAAAACAAAAAGATAATCCATTTCGAGGATAGCTGTCAGCTAATAAATAAAGCATACCTCAATTTCACTCCAATCTCCTGAACCACCCCAACCAACTTGAGATTGCTTCGCAGTCTCTGTAAGTATTCTGCAGATGAAACAAGTAGATACCATCAAACAAAGCAAACTTTAAGTGGATTATACAATATCATATCGATCTTGATAGAGGAAGAACTGTATTCTATAAGTTGTCGTGCACATAGTAATGTATTTGGAAGCGTGGTGTAATGGTTTATGAGCCCAAAAAAGAGAACTTTTCCATTCCTATAAATTTGTTGATTTTAAAAGGAAGAGCACACAATTGACAAAATGGAGTGATTGTGGGAGGATTCTCAAGCACAATAAAATGCTGGATACGAATTATTTCTTAGGGTTTTATTTATTTATTTTCCATTCCTAGGGTTTGTTTATTTCTTAAATAAAAAACAAAGAGTAAGGTTTTACAGTTCAAACCGTCGGTCTGTAGAAAAGAATTATGTACAATTTGCAAACATAATTTTTATATGATGTCTTACACTTAAATGCATGTCTGATTAGTCGAAATTAGCCCTCTCAGACCAAATCACTTCTGACATCGAAAAACGTGAAGAGATGAGACATTATCAATTTTATTAGGAATAGATCATGCACACATTGCCTTATTAAAGAACTACCAAGATGAGATTACACCATTAACTTTGTAACTGAGATAGATTACTCACAGTCATCTGTATTTACCTAATAGCTCGATGAGATTTTCTTAAGATTTATACACACGGAGAATAAATAAGGAGAAAACTCAAGTCATGTGTTTGGGCACGCTTGAACTAAGATATGTACTATGTGTAATTTTGCAAGAAAAGAATATAGTGTGTGTTGAAAATTTTGTACGAAACAGGAAGAACTGCACAGTGGCCCGAGTTTCATATAGTGTATGTTAAAACTTGCAGTGGCTATTACTTTAGTGACAACTCTTATGTATTCACTAGTCAACTTACTTGAGCGTTGGAACATTATTATTAATATAGTTCGGACAAGTATGCTCTTATATGTATCCACTGCTGCATATCCTTAACTGGTGTATAACCCTATGCTCCTACTACATATGAAATCGGTGATATGTAACTCTGATCATAGGGTTCCATTTCTCATGTGCGAGTCTGAGATTTAGGATTAAATATGTCAAGAGATCACGGATTAGGATTGACCCAACCCTATATATTCAAAAAACGCACTTTGCAAAGACCTTATGAATATACAAGTACTTAAATGACACAACTCATAATTTATTTCTGTAAGAGAATTTCTCAAAACATAAAGAATATTTCTTCTTCTTTGCCCTGAAAACATCGGAAAAAAAAAGTAGAGAGAGAGAGACAGAGAGAAGAAGAGTTTGACCACCACTAATGAAGCATATGTTCAACTACAAAAGATGTTCAAGTAAGATGATAGTTACTCCAATATTTTGGTGTAACTGAATTGCATACCCTAACTTAGTAATTGAAGAATAAGAATGTTAACAATTTCTGTTCATGTATCAATTATCATATCTCCGTTCTGCATTTCATCTGCTCAAATTCTCCACGACTCCAATTTTCTAAACAATAATTTAATTCGTAAAAATCAATCTAGGTCAAATAATCAGACGATCGCACCACCAAAACGAAAGCCCAAAAGTTGATGAGAGACCGCAAGAAAGAATCGAATATAAATTGGGTCTAACCTCTCGATGTCCCTGTAAAGCTGGATTCCTGTAGTTTCTGTTTGATTAGTGGATTTACCGCCGCCGTCTGAGCTGCTACATACTGCGATTCGACGGGCTGAGCTACGGTTGCTAACAGCGGAGACGCAACGACGACGTTTAGAAGGCAAGTCGCCGAAACGTACGATCCTCTGGGAATCGGAGAAAAGTGTCGACGTCCCCGTACATATGCAGCTCGCCGCCATAGCATCGATGGATAAAAGTCGGCCTGATTTTGTTTCTAACAATTGGGAAAATTAGAGGTCCGTTGATTGCACATAATCAGATATATATTCGCGTGTATATATATTGGGAAAAACCCCAATTTCTTTGCCTAGTGATGGTTAAGGGGTGGATTGAATAGCAGATTTTCGAGATCGAACTAGCAGAAATGGGGGATGGATTGAAAGTGGTTCGGTGGTGGTGGTGGTGGTGGGTGGTTGTCTGATTTGTGTGTGGTGGTGTGTCTGTGACGAAGATGATGGGTATTCAATATTCCCCTTTTTTTCTTTTGTTTTTTCTTTCTTTTTTTCCTTTTTTAATTATTTATTAAAAAAAATGAAGAAAATGGGTGTAAAAGGAAAATACTAATTTACCCCAACTATATTCACGTGCTAGGCACGTGATTTGAATTCCGGTCAATTTTGGCCAAAAATGTACATTTTGGACATCGGTGCTAAAAATAATAGAGTTCAGGTATGCTCGTGCAACTTTTTTTCCGTTCAGGGTGTAAAGCGCAAAAACGTCCAAAGTTTAGGGGATTTTTTGCAGTTAACCCTATGTTTTATAAAGAGATCTGTATTTTAAAATGTTGGAGATAATACATCGATGTGCGAACCGTCTGATATAAATTCCACAATAATGCATAGTAAAAATATATTTTATAATGTTGGTTTCTTCAACGATTGTAATTAACAAAGCAAGTTAAAGAACTTGGCTGGTGGATGTATCACAACCACAGTCATCTTCAACATGGATGAACTCATAAGCAATGACTACAAAAGAGATGTAAGACAAATTAGCTAAAATAGTTGAATCAAAGTTGAAAGAACAATAATAAAATAAAAGGATATGGATTTAAATTATTAGATTGTATTATTAAATGACAATCTTTTAATTCATCATTTCGAGAGTTTCTCTTCAAGTGGCCTTTTGACTCCAAATTTATATTCATTGTTGATGGAGGAATATCATGTCCTTCTTCGCGACTGGCAGCAAATCTTGCAATCCCATTTATTTGCAGCAAACTAGAATCATTAACATCACATTTTCTGGTATCTTTCTGTCCATCTATAAATGAAGAAGGCAACAAAACTATTTTAGGTTTTCCCAACATTTGCAGGGTCATTTTCTCCATCGATACACAAGGAAATAACAATCCCTCCAATTGATTCTGTTTGGATTCTTTTCGAAGTTGTTCAATCCATGCGAGATGTCTCTAACTCAGTATATGACTCAATTCAGTTCTCATGATCGAATCTTCCTGAATATAAAATAAATAAGAGTGAATGTGACAACACATTTTAGCTTTGTAAAGCGAAAACTTTCTATATCATATGTTTTTCTATACAAGACTTATTATTTATTTGAACAAGCTAAGTGCACATAACTAACAATTTTAAGTTCATGTTTATTGTAGTATTGTATAAAAGCATTAAACAATCATAATTAGTAAATATTAAACCTAACTCAAACACTAAATTGTATTATTGGTAATTTATTATGATGTCTACTGTTTTCTTCAATTGTCAAAACTGTCTCTGCTAATATTTTTATGCACAAACCTTCTAAAAATTTTAGAGGACAAATGTTGTTTAAATCAACCAGCTAAATATATAGTACCTATTTTAGAGGAACAATATAAGTAGTGAGAATGGTTCATGAACTTCAAATAAGAAGAGTTTCAACCAACTATCAAGTAACAAAAAAATAACATTATACGACAATTTTTTTTTTTTTTTGTAAAAATGTCTACATTTGGTTAAATGAGATGAACTTTAATACAACTGTAAAATCTCCATAAAATATAGAATGAAGAAGTCGACTTTTCTTTTCACGTAAACAGAAAATCCAAATATGAAATTCAAAAGCAAATGAACATTTAGTAATGTAGTTTCACACCAAAAAAAAAAAATTGACATACCTTAATGCCACAGAGTCGGGAAATTGAAGTTGAAGATCTGCAAAGAAGAAAAATCCATAAATAAAATTTGAAGATAGGTAAATCTTTAGAAAACTTACGAATGTGAAATAGAAGTTGAATGAGAAACCTAGAACGAAATGATGAAATTGTAGTTTTGATGAGAGAGAATGTTGAACTAATATTATCGAAGGATGGGAACAGAGGATTCATGATGTTTTTTTTTTCTTGAAGAGGCATGGCCTACTAACATAGACCTGATCTTTTGATCTTATTTATTTTATTTTTTTGACAAAAAATTACACCGCCAAAACATAAACACATAGCCGACTACAACATCGTTTACGGTTCATTTGTAATAAAAATAAGTACAAATACTTAAATGGTTCACTAATAATTAATTATAATAATAACATATATCGTCTAGAATAATTTTCTATTAAAAATAAATTTATATGTTTAACTTCAATAAATATAGTAACTCTTGTATAACACGAAAATGTATGGATAATAATATCGAAATTCTCAAATGAATATAATAATGCATTTTATGTTTATTTAATTATGAAAATAAGAAATTGGTTTGCTGGTCCCTGAAAATTATTTTTTATACCTAACATGACATTCGATTTTTAGCTATTTGTTAAAACTCCTTCGTGTGTTTTAACATAGGTCAATAGGAGAGGAAGTTGCAGAAATAGCCTTTTGGTATTAAAGTCGATATTAAAATAATCAGCCGACATGTGTTTCCCTATAAAATAGTGTCTCGTTTTAATCACTTTGGATTTGTTCTGCTCTGAGCTTCACTACTGGGTATCGCTGAATCCGTTGGTGATTTGCGAGCCTTTCGTTCAATTTGCCATTTTTTGTTGCGAGGATAGGGATGTACGGTGCGATTCCTGTAAGTAATTCGAATTTTATGTAATTCGTGTAAGTTCATGCATGTGATGTTTCATTTTGATGTTTCATTTTGATGTTTATCTTAGTCGAGAATGAACCGATCTTAGTCTTTTTGGGCCGTTTTGTTATTTATCATTGTTTAGTCTTTCCTTTATTGTTTTTTGGCCGTTTTCTGTTGCGATGATAGAAGCACAATATGATTCTCACATAAGTATACTATTAATCTGAGATATGTCTGTTATGTTAGCGAGATCTAATATACACAAACACAATTCGTTTGTGTATATTTTTTGTGTTGTTGATGTTGTTATACATATTTTTGTCGAGAAGTATTTAGCGACAACTTTGTTACATTAAATATCCTAGCTAAGTTCAGGTAAATATGTGATGTTATATGTCTTACATTTACGCAAACAATATGTTGATTATAGAGCTTACTTATGTTTTGTTTGTGTTTTTTGGTTGTGTATGTCTTATGTTTGTAGTTGTATGCATGGAGCTTAGTTATAGAGCGTCGGTATCTTCATGTGTTACAGAACTTTGTTATAAAGCTTAGTTATAGAGCTTAGTAAAATTTTACTTATGTAATGGTTTTATGTGTATTTCTATGTCTGTAAAGAGTATGTGTGTTATTGTTTTTTCAGAATGGCAAGTTCAGTGTTTTTTTTTTCAAGTTTGGTGGCTGTCATGCAGGGAAGAAGTTTAGTTCTGGTATGAACTATCAGAGCTTGGTTGATTTTGTTGTTAAAAATTGGTCTTCATTGAGAGCTAGCACTGTAGTGTTGAGTTACACTTTTTTTGACTTGGGCCACTGTTTACTAGATGATGATAATGATGTGTCTATTATGCTTGATTTAGTTGATCAGTGTTCACTTACAGGGTTAGAAGTTATGGTGAACCAGAAGGAATATGTTGATTTTGTTGAATCAAGTTCTGTGACTGGTCCAATAAATGAAATGGTTCAGTGGAGGAATGGAGGAAATGTTAATGAGCCAGACAACTCAAGCAAGCAAAAAGAGTTGACTTCAAATTGGATCAAGTTGATTGATTCAGTGGAGCAAGTTTTTGAAGGGGGAGCTCCATAGTTGAGGAAAGGTTTAGCAAAATACGCTTATGAGTCTGGGTTTATGTTTTATTATTTGACAAATGATTGACTGTATATTACTGTTGTTTGCAAGTACAATGATACTAAGAATTGTCAGTGGAGAGTTCATGCTTCAATTGAGGATTTCAATCAGCTTTTCTATTTCGAACATTCGAAAAGTATCATACATGTGGTTATGTTTTTAGTTCTGCAAATAAAATTAGGATGAACGCTGATGTTTTTGCTTGAGTTTGTTGTTGATGACATTCGTTCGATGCCAACCATATATTCCTGTGATGTTATCCACCAATCAAAGAACAAATATGGTATAGATATATCCTATTTTGTTGCACGGACAACACTTCAAAAGGATAGGTCTCTTGTGTTTGGCACACAATCATCATTATATTCTATGCTTAATTCTTAATTTGTCGAAGCTGGTCGCATCCATCCTGGAAGTGTTTTTCATCAGGATTTTAACAATGAGCAAATGGTGTTACGTTGTTGTTTTTTTTTTTTACTTTTTTTCTTTTGGGGCTTATCTTACTGGATTTCGTTTCTGCCCCCCAAGTTTATCTGTATATGGGCCTTTTTTAAACGGAAGATATAAGGGAATCCTACTCAATGCTATTTCAAAATATTGAAATGATGGTAAGTTTTTCATTATTTTAACAAAGTTGAGTTTAGTTCTTTATTTTCCCTTTTTTCATGCATACATGTGTTGCATGAATGATACTTAGTTGTGTATACTTATTTTCATGCAACTTATTTGTATAGCTAATTTGAGTACATTGTATAGACAATTTATTGGCAGAGCTAGTTTTAGCTACAAAGTTGAGTTATTTTTTCATGAAGACATGTGTTGCATATGAGTTGTTCAGCTGTACCAATTTTATTTATTCATTTATTTTTATTTATCACTGTATGCAATTTAGTTACAACTTTGATTAACCGATGATTTTGTAATTTTATTATATAGATCTTTTTCCTATGGCGTTTGTTGTGGTGCGTGAAGAGAATGATAATAATTGGAACTGGTTCTTGACACATTTGAAGGAGGGTCTGAATTCAGACAGTCCTTTGACTTTTATTTCTGATCTGAATTACGGTATTTTAGAAGGTGTAAAAATTGTTTTCCCCGACTGTTTTCATTCATTCTGCCTATTGCATTTGAAGATGAATTTGAAAGATAAGTTGAAAGGGGTTTCTTCTAGCTTTATGCATTCTATTATAAACTAATTCGTGGTATGTGCATATGCTGCTAACAAAGAAGTTTTCGCTCAGAGAATTGAACAATTGATGGTTGATGGATCGAGAAAGGATGTAAATTTCTTGTCTGATTTGCCATATGGTAACTAGGCTAGAGCACATTTCTAAGGTACTAGATATGAGGAGA